TGAGCTGTCACTGTGAGTTCAAAACAGAGCAGGAAAAGCAAAATTGATTTTTGTGTATGCCACAGATTTGGCGTTAGTACTGAAGCATTTTTCTGTAACAATTAACCCATTATTAGATATGTGGTGTTTTACGCCTGAATACATTATTTATGTAGTGGAATAGCTGCATGCTAGAAGTTGGCTCAGAGGGGCTGTGGCAGGGAGTGGCTTTTACTGGTTGTGGCACTAAAAAGTGGTAGCATGGGTCTTGTATTAGCTGTAAATTTAATTAATTAAAAACTGCTGCAATTTTGTGGAGTCCTGGCAGTACCAGAGCATGTCCATGTGAGGGACTCTCTGGGGACAGGAGCAGATTGTGGGTCTGCTTAAATTTCCCTATGTAAAGTCAAATGTATGTGTCTGTACACTGGATGGGTCCTCATGTCTGTAGACACTGAAGATACTAAGGTGAAATTCCTGAATTTTGGTTTGCATGGGAAATTTGGGTATGTTTTGATGCAGTTTGTTTTCAGCTACACAATTTGCTGTGTATTATATAAGAAATTGTGCTCTCCTTTGGAAATATGTTTATATTGGGGTTTTTTTTAGGGTTTTTTGAATCTAAATGAATTATATGAATGGTGATAACTGATTTTTTTTCAACACATATTAATGAGAGTAAATTTTTTTACTCTGTTTCTTGTGACATTAAATAAAAAGGAAGGCTGTGTAGAAACAACAATATCCTTCTTCAGCTGCCTTCCAGCATGTGAACAGTTTGTAGTTTAGTGGGGAGCAAAGCAATTTTCCCTCAAAAGTAGCAATATTTAGGAAAGAGAGGAAGGAATGGACAAAGAGCTGTGTGAGTACAGCAAATCTGAGTACATAGGATTAGAGTATGTGTAATGTGGGAATGGCAGGACAGCCTGGCCTTTCCCAGCAGATCTCAGCAGCAGCAGTGGGGCTGCAGGCTCAGCCATGACTCTGCTTTTCCCATACCTCAGCCTTGTCTCAGTCGTTTGATTTAGTTTTAAGTAGCCCTGTGATGATCTGAGTTTTGGTGATTTAGTTTTAAGTAGCCCTGTGAGAAGCAGGGAGCTGGACTCAGTGTGGGTCCCTTCCAACTTGAGATATTCTGGGATTCCTGTTTGTCTCCAGGGATAAGCCCAGAGTCATAACAACCAGAGAGAGACTTAGCCAAGGGATGGAGCCTCTCCCTCTTGTGGAGTCCATCAGAATTTAAGGTTCAGAAGCTTGTTCAGTGGCAAAATGTAGAAATTCCTTACAGAAATTCCTTGCTCTGCTTCTGTTCTCCAGTGCAGTTGGGATTCAGTGGGCTGTGCTGCCAGCAGGTTTTGAAAACCTGAGGAAGAATTTGCTTATTTGCTAAATTAAAGAATTAAAGCCTGGTATAATTTTACAAGAAATCATGAAGAGTTTCACAGCCTATTACGATTTTCCACTGAAAATTTCTCTAAATGGCACACAGGGAGCTTGGGTGTGGGTTTGCTGCTGGGATGTGAAACTCTGTCCCTGTACAGCCTTGGGGATGTGTGTTTTAATTTCTTGATGAGGCTGAGACCCAGCCAGGTGCATCTCCTGCTCCCTGTGCTGCTGGTGAGCCCTTGCTGTTCAGGGAATGGTGGGAGCCCTCCAGGAAGGTGTTGGTTCATCCAACATTTTGCTGGGACGTCCCAAATTTAATTAACCTTTCCTGTTAACCCCTGTATTGCCCCATGTTTCCTTAGTGCAGTGCTGTAAAGTCTCACTGCATTTAGTTGTTACCTCTTGGAGGACATTTTACAGAGCAAGACAAATATTTATGATTAAGCATGAAGAGGAAGCACGTAAGATATTTGTATTTCTCATCAGTGCACTTCAGGGTGCTGATTTCTGAAATTGAAATTCTGGACTTCACAGTCAAGCTTCCCTGAGATGATTTGTGCTGCGTAAGACTCCTCATTCCGTTGCCATGTCCTTTATACACTGAAACAAAAGGAATTTGCTGCTTTTTAAATTGGGGGCAAAGAGTAAATTCACCCTGTTTTTATATTCAAGCCGGCTCAGCTTTAGGGGATTTAAGTGATGTAATTGTATTGTACTGGGCCCCACAACTAGTCCAACTGAAAAAAATAATCTTCAAAGTGAATATTTTAGTGCTTCATGCAAGGCACATTGCTCAGTGTCTTGGGAAAAAAAGTGAAGCTTTTCTTATATTTGTGAACCCAGGGCCATTGTTGTACAGGTTTTCTAAGCTTCTGTACAAATCTGAACTGCAAAAAAATACAGAGTGCTGGCTCCCACATCCTTAAAAATGAAGTTTTTTTTCCTGTTTATAATGAGATGTTGCATTTATTCATGGGATTAAGTACTTAAAAGAAAGGAAGGTGCATAAAACCACGTTCCTGGAAGTTTGCATCATAATATTTCAAAATAAAAATGTCTTCCTGAGGAAGAAGATGTATAAATTTGGAGCCTCACTATGAGCATGAGGCCTGATATCTTGTCCTTTCGAGTTTACATTTGTTGTGTTTCCATCTGACTGGACCAAAGCTGTTGTCCCAGTGTCTCGTGACACTTGGCAGTGTGGATGTGTTTCAATAAGTTTCAATTTTTGGTTTTGCTTCCAGTGTGGAGAGGAATTATTAGATGTGCTTTGCAGGGAGAGAAATTTATTATCCAGGTCCCATTGCTGAATTATGGATCTTTGGGAGGAGAAGTGGACATTTTCCCCTCTCCATGGTCTCTCCAAGGTAACAAATGTGGGCAGAGCTCTTTATATTCTTCTTTCTGAGGTAGATTTTGTTCTGGGAGAGGGGAGTGATGTGCTTAATGTAATTCAGTGTCAAACAGCTGTAAAATAAAAATATCTGTATCCAGCATCTCCCTGGAATGTGGGATTTGGGGGATAACTGAGCCAAACAGCAGGAGCAGATGGAAAACTGATCCATCAGACAGCTCCTGTCACTTTGAGCTCTGGAGGTGTCACTGGCGTGCCCATTCTGAGGAATGGTGGAGGAGTTTTGTACTTGGGATTTGGATCTTTTGGATCTTCTGCAGGAGGAATTTAAGTCCTAAATGGTATCTTGCCATTTGAGTTACATGGGGAAAGAAATGTTGATTTTGGTAGTGATGGTTTCTTTGCTGAGTAATTTTATTGTCTCATAAATGAGTGGGGAATGTGATGGCTTAGATTAACACAGATGTGCTTCCCCTCAAAGGAGTGTGGGAAATGGAATCGATGAGGCTGTGGAAATAAAGCGTATCTGGAGGGGTGATGGATGCTCTCTAGCAAATTTGAAGATAATTTGCACAGGTATTCTAAGAACACGAAACCAAAACCCCAAAACAATCATCACCAAAACTGTGGTGCAGGACTTTGTTCTATTTCCTCCAATTTCTGCTGGGGAATAAAGGAATTTTCCTTTTTCTGTAAGGAGAGGAGCAGTCTCCCTATTCTCAATTATTCCATCAGCTGTGAGTGAGGCGCCAAAATAAAATCTTTTTTTTTTTTTAAATATACATCATGAAAAAAACCTCTAGAAGTAAACAGCAATGCACTGACTCAGGGCTTGTGGCATTTCTTTGATCTCTTTGCTAATGGAATTACCCTGCTCTCCTGCACTGCAAACAGCCGCTTTGTGGAGATGTAGGATTATGTTCTTTGTCCCATTGTCAAAGTCTGGTCTGCAAACCACAGAAGAGGATGTGAATACTGTAACTTTGGGCTTGGCAGCTTCCTGACCTTTCTGAAAGGCTCTCTCAGTGCTGCAGCAGCTCCTCCAGGGCTGGCAAGGTGACAGACGAGATGAATTAACTGGGCTTTTCCGTCTCTTACGTGTCAGATTCTTTGTTTTATATGGAAATAATTTCTGTCAAAATGGGAAATTTATCATGAGGTACTTCCTCTGCCTGCAAAATGAAAATGTCAGCCCCAGGTCTGTTTGAATGTGTCTTCTGTTACAAGCCATGGGTGGAGCCAGCTTTGTCCTCAATGCCACCATCGTGTTCTCCAGTGTCTGAACACAAAGTCAGGCAGCTCTCCTGACCTGTGGGAGTAGGAACATGTCACAAAAAGTTAATAACAAAACCAGTAACAAGTTAATAAAAGTTAGTAATATTTGAGGGCTCACGTCAAATTTTCTGAAATATTTATAAGTTACCCGAGTTTTTGTCTGTGTTGCGTCATACAGTGAATGTCTCTACCTTTTCATGTGTATTTTTCATATATGTGAATGTACATAAAATATTACAGAAACGTTACTATTGATGTGCCATCCAGTCTGAAGACACCCAGGCTGATTTCTCTAGATGTATCAGGTTTAATATGTGGAGTAGTGTAGGCTGTTGATATGAAATATCTTTGCACAGAGATTTAACATCTGTCATTACTGTAAAGGCTGAATAGACATCACAGCATTATGGCTCTCTAATAGATTAAGAAGGAACCACGTGTCACGCATTGCCCTGCTTTGCATTTTGATTTATGGCAAGCAGGGAATAATCCTGTACCTTGTCTGAGCAAAGATGGCACTGGGATAATTTTCTTGATTTTTTTGTTTTGGTTTGGTTTTCTTTTAATCTGGAAAGGCAATCATGCTAAAAAGAGTTTGTTTAAGTGTTAGGGAGTGTTAAATCTAATTTAATGAAATCTAATTTGTTAGTATTTATTCATTGTTGCTATTATTAAATTTTATTAATTAGATGAGATTAATAAAAGGGGTTCTACATTGGGTACAGAGCCATTGAAGGGAAGAGAGCCTTTGAAGGTGGAGGTTTTGTTGTGAGCTGTGGACGCCGTGTTTGGGCGTGTGAAATTCAATCGGAGAAAGCGAAAATAACTCCGGCCTTCCATCGCCTTCTTCAAAGCCCTGCAAAGGGAAGTTGGGCAGAAGCTGGGACAGGAAATTGAAATCTGAATACTATTTTAAACTGATCGGGTTAAAGGCCTCTCTTTTACACCAGCACACTTGTTCTTTTATTTGATACTTGAACTCTGAAAATTTTCTGTGACTTTCTAGGGAGAAGGAGGAGCAGCTGAGGCGGGTGACGGAGGTACAGAGGCTGCAGGCCCAGCAGGCAGGCGCTGCCCTGGAGGAGTTTAAGCGGCAGGTGGAGCTGAACTCAGAGAAAGACTCTGCTGAAATGAAACAGCGGGTGAGGAGGTCACAATGCCAGCCTTTCTGAAACTCTGGCGCAGTGGGATAGCGGATTCTGATCTTATAATGCCAGAAACATGCTCCACTTGAGAGTGCTACATCAAAATCTTTCACAATGTAGTGTCTTTGCAGCGAGTCAGAAAGGGATGGTGGCGGGTGTTTCATCTTTCTGACAAAGCCAGAATTGTCATTGTTATAAAGATATCTGCAGTTGTGATACTGATTAGGGATTTTTCAGGAGTGAGAGTATAAAGGGTTAGTTTATACACCCTATGGAACAACGCTTGTCATTTCCCACTTAAATGTGTCTCTTCCTACTCTTTTTCCAGCAACTCTGTCTTCCCATTAATGAGCTCCTGTAATCAGTTTGAGCCCAAACAGGAGCAGAGCCATGGTGGCTGCTGGCAGTCATGTGCAGAGGATGGAAAAATCCACTTTTCTGTCCCTGAAAATCAGAGTTTAGTGGCTTAAATTCCTTTTGGAGCAAACAGTAGTTAAACCATTCTCCTGGGAGTTTATAAAAGGAGCCCACGGAGTGAAAGGAGGAACAAGCAATAGGTGATCAAAAAGAAAGGGAGAGAAGGGATATTTCCTAACTCCTCGTGTGGCTGAGATTACCAGACAGAACTCCACCTTGTAATTCTGGATTACAAGTTCCACCCTCACCTGCCTTGACCAAACCTCGCTGCTGACAGGAGGGTGCTGCAGGCTGGGGCTGGAATGGGTGGCTGAGGGTGTTGCCTTAGGACTGAGGAAATTCCCTTTTTGTTGTTCTCAAAATTTTTTGAAAATCTTCATTGCTGATATTTTTAAGACCCATGCAGACAGCGAATAATAGAATTTGGAAATGAAAAAAAAAAGCAAGAACAAACTTATAAAAGCAAGATGTGTTCAGCAAACCAGACCCATGAGGGCAATACAACAAATCCCACAATTTTAATCTGACATTTTCTGTACTGTGTGACCCTCCTGCAATTTCTTAATGACTTAAAATAATATCCTAGTTCTGATCTAAAAGGGATGTTCTAGAAAAGCTAATAATAGTTTCATTCACTTAAAAAAAAACCTTGAACAAAGAAAACCAGCCCAAAACATAAGAAAGTGCAAAAGAATTTGGAAAACATAGTCAACTGTAATTTTAAAATGACAGTAAATTTCTTTCAGAATATTCCTGAATTCTGGGAAATTTTGAAAGTCAATTTTGCTGTACTCCATGAATCAGCCAGAGGTTTACTCTTTCCCTGCTTGGGTGCTAAAATCTAGAAATATTAAATGATATTGTACAGTTGAGTGGCTTTATTCTACAGGAACCAAGGTCCAAGGAAATACACCAAAGGAGCACTGCTGAAGCTCTCTCTTCATGGATTTGGCCTTTCTCATTCCTCTGCATCCACATACTCTTAGATAAATCCCCCAGTACATTGGGACATACTGGAAAATTCTGTGTTTTGTGGTGAGGTGGGATGTATTACTTACAAAACAACTGCAGTAGCCATAGCAACACTGTCCTTTTATCTGCATTAGGAATACTGGGCTTTAAACCCGTTTTTGGTGTGAGATAAAGGTAATTATGGAGATGAGTAGGATGGGGTCATTTTCAGTTGTTGCAATCAATATTTGATTCTTTAGTTTGGCTCTATGATAATATCATTTATTTTGCCATCTGCTTCCTATTTTGTCAAGCTTGTGATTATTGAGAGTCACCTGATGTCCACTGGTGGGTGGGTGGCACATGTTTAACTGCAAGATCTGCACATTTTCCAGTAGTAACTAAAAAAAAGAGAAATAACATAAAGACTATGTCATGGTACTGTAGATCTGGGGCTTCCTGGGTTTGGTAAACAATGATCAAGAGCCTTTGTTGGAAATAGATGAACGTGACCTAATGAATAAACTGCAGAAGCCGGTAGTTTTAAACCATCTTTGCATATGTTTTTGCTATTTCACTTTTTTGAACATTTTCATTCTCTCTCAAAAATAATAAAAACCACCCTCCTTTAGTGCAGTAACAAGATCTGTTATTTTTCTGGGTTTTATTAACCTGAATAAAATATGGCCATGAATGTGCAATTTGAGTAAGTTTGGAGCCGGAAGAAAATGATTCATAAAACATTGATTGCAGTCCCTTTTCTTAATGGCAGATGATAGCAGTGAGGTTCAAGAGCTGCTTCCTCACTGCTCTATTTTTCCACTTTCTATGTGGCCAACTGCTCCTATTCCAGTCCCTTCTTTTCCTGCTGGAGTACTCTGCAGTAAAATTCTTTTCCCACTCCCGAGTGCTGCCTTTTCTCCTCCTTCCTGGCTGGGGAGTGATGTCCAGGCCAATTGGCACAGACATCTGTTGAACACTGAGCACTCCCTCAGGCCAAGCAGGATTTTGGCTTGTGGTTCAGAAATTCATGGGTTTCTTCTTTTTGTGGAGCAGATGGGCTTGTGGTCCTTCAAACCCCTCCACATCTTTTCCCTTTTTAGGGACACAGTTTATTCACTGCTTATGTTGGGATCTAGATCTAAAAGTCATTGATGAGTGTGCACTGCAGCAGTTACATATATATATTTATATATATTCCCTTGGAAACATGCCTGATGTACAGCTAACAGTTGTGCTTTTGATACAAAAGCCTTTGTTAATTGAGTTGTGAAATTGCTTCCTTGATGCTGCGTGCTGGAATCTGTGGGACTCATTATTCATAGGCGATGACTATCTTCAGAGGACTTCACTTGCAGCCAAATAATTCTCTTTTAAGTTATTTAAAGTTATTTTCTGATTTAATGTAAACTTGCTTTAATTGTGTCGTTTATGCTCTGACTCGCACATGATTTCCCTTGAATTTCCACAGGCACTGTATTTTTAAGTGAAATATATTTGAGTCTTAAATACATCTAGAGAAAATATTCCCTTAATTTCCATGGGATATTCAGCACTGTTGAGTGAAAAACTGAGCCAATCCTTTGTAATTAGGGAGTGGCATAACAGTGATCACTATGTCCTTGAGTAACTAATAATCCTGTAGAGACTGAATATTCATTTTCACCACATACAAATGGTGTTGTTATCATTCCCAACAAGTGATATTCTCCTCTTTGATGGTTTACAAACAACTGTAGAAATGTCAGAACATTTCAAGCTATGCCTTTTTTTTAAAAAAAAAATTAAATATTCCCTTTCTTTTCCCATGTAGATGGCAGAGGTTGAAGCAGATCTAAGCAGATCAAAATTGCTGCGGGAAAAGCAAGCCCAAGAATTCTCCTGGCAGTTGGATGAGATCAAGAAAAGATATGAACAGCAGGTCAGTTGCTTTGCTCCTCCAGGTGGAGGGGAGAAAACACCCTTCCTGCAGCTGTAGGTCACTGTGTGTTGCTGTCATTCCTATAAAAACACCATTTATAGATATGCAGAGTTTTGTGATGGGGACGGAGGGGGGAGAACCAACACAGAAAATACTTTTTGTTTCCTCTTCACAATCCTTTGTACCTCTGACTCTTTCAAATTGTTTCCCAGGCTTACAGGTGGCAACACCTATTTCCATAATCACCAGGTTCAATTATTGAATGCATTATCTGTTTCTCTTCTTGTCAAGAAACAGCGGTTTATTCTTTTTATCATTTTTGACACGGGGAGTGTTCGTATGAATGCTTGTTTTGGCCCGCTGAGCGTGATTTTCTTCTTTGTAATGTAATTTCAGGGTTGGGAAATACTCAGGAAACGTTTGGGTGGAGACAAGAAAGTTTTGTTCGGTACTGCTGTGAAATGTAAAGGGGGAGAAGCAGAAGGAGAGAAATCACTGCATGACACAGGCTTGGGAGCTAAGGAGCTGCACCAGACATGGGTGTGAGCTGGTACTTGGTCATGAAACTAAAGTGGCGTTTGTTGGTAACACCTGCTGAAGGAATGAAAGGGGGTTTTTAGTACTTTGTAGGAATGAGGTGGTTAATCCATGAAAGTTCTCTCTTATCACTGTTCTTGTGTGGATCTAAGCTTGCATTTCCAGCAGGGAAATGTGGTTTCATTGCTGTTTATCTTCTGTGCCGTGAGAGGATGAAACGCTGCGGTTGGCTTTGGTGCTGGCCTGCTCTGGTCCATCTGGAAGGGGCTTTTTCAGGGAATTAAGGAACAAGATCACTTTGGTAGGTGTTGAGAGACCCCTGCTCTGTGCTGAGGAGGAACAATGGTGTGTTTTGTGTGTGGCTCTTGGAACAGAAGGGAGTTTGTTGGGTCAGATCAAAGCAATGTCACCACTTGTGCTGCCACCTGACAGAGGTGACATGCTGGCCTCTGGAAGGGTGAGGGACATCTCACGGGTGTTCAGCTTAACTGGGAGATGTTATTTAGGATGATTTCTGCATTTAGTGATTCAGAAATAGTCAGAGATACTGGGGATTTGTGCAGGAAAGGTGAGGAAGTTTGGTGTGTCAGGGACTCGCTGAAAGGAGGGCGATGGAGTGTCAGGGTCAGCTGGACATCTGCCTTAAAGGAATTTTTTATTTAGTTATATTTTCACATCATTTTAAGGATATGGTTGGCTCACATTTTTTCTTTACAGTTCTCATAATTTGTAGTGCATCTTTAAAATCCCAAGTAAGCATTTATTAAAAGATTTTGTTCCCGTTTTCCCATCCCAGATTTTAATCTGCAGAGATAAATGCTAACTTGCAGTGTATCAGGAATTACAACATTCCTGTTCTACCTACAAATGGTAATTTTTTTTTACTATCCATAGTAACATCCACCAAGCCATAAATAAAATTTTCTGCCAATATTCAGCTGACTTTGCTCACTAAGGGCAAATGACAATGTCTCATATTGTCATGGTTTAGTTTTATGTGTCTTCTTATATTCAGACCTTCTGGAGACTGTGTCAAAAAAACTCGCAAAGCAAGAAATTAATATGAAAGTTAAAAATGTTTTGGTGAATCTGTTCTGTAACAATGTTGATATTGTGGTAAACATCAGTGAAAGCATTTTTCACTGAGATGTTTACTGCTTCCCATTTATTTTATTTAGGATAGCTGCTTTTACTGTAAGAAAGAACAGCTAAGCTTTATGAGACATCACTGGAACCCCAGGGTTTCAGCCCTAAACAGCTAAACAATGAGAGCCAAAGAAGAATTTTCAGTGGAATCCTGTTTATGCCCTTTTTAAAAATTTATTTCTCTTTGTCCTTCATCTGGAATGTTCTTTGGAAGTTGGTGAGCATGAAGAATACGTGCCCCTTCCTGCAGATTGCAGGGGGTTATCACTGGGAATGAGGTTCTGGGAGGCACAAAGCCCCTCCAGCCCCACCACGGAGCAGGATGAGCTCAGTTCTTCCACTCTTCAAATTTCCTTTCAGTACTTCCAACTTCTGTTTCTCTGCACTGCTCTCTATTTATGCTTCAGAACTTCTAAGCCATTTTTAAAGCAGACTTTTCCTTGCCTTGTTTTACTGCATATTTCTTTGGTTGTTACTTGGCAAGGAGCAGACTGATTTAAAATGTTTAAATAGAGCAGTGAATTCGAAGTGTGGATACATTTTGAAAGGGCTCCAGCAGTTTTCCAGTTGGAAATAGACACCCAACCAAAAACCTGGATATTTTTGCTACCTGAGAAATGTAGTGATTGCTTCGAGATGTTCTGCCTCAAGTGTCTGAATCTAATTGTCAAATGAAATTCAGACATAAAAAGGGAAGGGAAATTGCCTTACAGATTTATTTTTGTTGGCTTTCGTAGTGAGTGGCAAGGGTAGCACTGGTGGCAACCTGGACAATTCAGTTGCCCATAATTTTAATCAGATTGGTAATAAAGAACCAAATTAACTGATGTGTTACCCAGTTCTCCAGTCTGAGAGACATTTTGGGAGTGTAGGCACTTAGAGCAGTGGTTTCACTTCTCTGCTTTATCTTGGTTGATGTCACAGGACTCTGCTTGAATACTGGTTTCAAAACAATAATTGGTATGAACATGGACTGTTCATTGTAGGGCTGAAAGATGGTTTTGCCTGCAGATTAGACGTACTCATATATTGGTATTTATCTGATATTTATTACAACAAATAACCTGATACATTGATATTTGCTTATCTTTGTCTTTTGCTTCAAAAATAATTTGGGAAAAAACACAGCAGTTAATATTTTAGCTTTTCAAATGCACTCAAATCAATTAATAAAGCAAAAAGAAACATTTGGATCTTGCAGTATTTGGTTTCAGCTGTCACGTGTCCCTCCTGGTTCCAGCTTCATCTGATTCGGTGCCACTTGCTTTTGAAGTATCCACTGAGAACACTCTCAGAGAGAGAAACTGGTGGCTTTTTTTTTTTCTTCTTTAAATATACTTTAGCTCAACTTTGTTCTACTTGCAGCTGTTAGATTTGAAAGTATATTTTGAAGAAAAAAAAATAACTCCAGCAGCACCAGAGTTCCTATCTGCTGGGAGCAGCTGCTTTCGGCACTTCAAAGCCAGTGGACAGCACAGTGAAGGCCTCAGCCTTTCCTGCCTTTGAAATGGTTGCAGTATCTGTAGTTGGGCTTTATGGCACTGTCAGCACAGGAAGAAAGGTTGTTTGGTTTTTTGCACCCCCTCCCTTTTTTCTTTTTTTCATTTTTTCCCCCTACTTTCTAATTACATCGTCAATTCAGCTCAGAGTACCTGGGAAGTGTTTCTGATGAGTTCATCTTCTATGAGCCCAAATGTTTGAAAGATCATGTGCCCAGACTTCTCAGTAATGGATTTTAGTCAAATTTGACAGAAAAGTTAAGGAATTTGCTGGGTTTTTTTTCCCATATCCTTGTCAGTTGAGCACTTTCTGAGAGCACATCTCTCATGGTGAGTGGTGGTTCCATGGCAGAGATGGGACAGGGCTTCATGCAGGGGCATTCCCCAGCACACTCAAGTACATGCACACCTTTGTTTTAAGCAGATTTTCATAAATTGTTGAGAATGGAACACTTCCAGTGAACTCAGTGTTATCCTAACACTTGAATGACATTAGCTTGTCCTTAAAAAAAACCCCAAACCATTAATAATCACTGTGATCACTGTTACACCCATTTTTTGCTGTGAACAGTTGCTGAAGTGACTGGGTGAATGTGAAATAAATGAGATGCAAGATTAGTAAGAGACCCAAAGCCTAGGAAATTTTATTTTACAGCAGGGAGAGAACACACAAAAAACCAGTTGATGAGTTATTGTGATAGCAGGATGGAGTTACCTGATGAGTTATGGCCATACTCTCTGAGATTAAATGCCAGCCTAAATATATAAATGATCTTTTTGGTTTGCTTCATCTTTAACTGTGTTTATTCCCTTCAAGAATAATTATTCATGCTTCCATAGGAAAGTGGAAAGTTGTTACATGATAGCTGAAGAATCTCCCTATATCTCAGGAAATCCTTTCTTGTGACATTTATTGTTGGGTTCTGACTTCTGTAAAAGTTATGAAGATATTAGAGTTGTCATCTTGTCCTCTGTATCTAAATAGGGAAGAAAGAGACCTTCAGAAATATTTTCCTGGGTATTTAATGAAATCACTTTGAAATCATGCTAAAGACAAGTCAATAGACAATGCCTTTAAGTTGGCAGCAAGACAAAGGTGTGGTTAAGTTAAATATGCCTTTTATAATAAAGAAAGTGAGGTAAAGAAGTGCAAAATAGCTGGTTAAAAGTGAAAAAAGCATGTTTGTAATGTTACCTGCCAGCAGCAAGGACAACATCTGAGGTGCTGCTGGGACACTGTTCTTGTTTTAGCAGTGTGCTGGAGCAGAGGAAAGTGTTATTGAGAGGAGAGGAAGAATATTCGGTAGATCTTTTTTGTCTTTTATAACTTTCTAGTGAGGTTAATTTAAAGAAAAGAGTGAGGTTCTCTCAGGCAAAACATTCACTTAGTAATTAACATTAATAGGGGTAACAAGCTCCACCTCCAGCTCACTTTATCCCCATACCCTTGCTCTGTTAAGAGTTCCTGCCACTGCACTTCCATCTGAGCTTTCCTTCTGGCCTCATTCTTCATTTTCTGGGTTTTTAACTTCTCTTTTACCAATCTGTTACCCACCCAAGTGAAGGAAACACTTGCAAAGCCCAGTTTGAAGTCTGTTGTTCCTCTGATGGCAGATGTCCCAAGCATTTCTTAGCTGTGCGTTAACCTGGCCATTTATTTTCAGAGATCCACAATCCATTTTTAGTATGCTGGTTTAGTTGTGAGGAGAGAGTCTTTGTGAAAAGCTTTGTTCCTCTCCTCTTTGTCTGTACTCGAAGATAATTGAAATACAGTCTGTTCTTGCAAGGAGGCCAAATGAGCACGTTAGTAGAAGCTCT